AGGAAATGAGAAATATAGAAGGTTGTTACTCTTTTTACTCCCAAGATGACACAGCCATTCAATGGTGGAGCCTGGAGTTTAACCGCAAGTTTGGCCTCAGGGTCCAGAACCTAGTGGGAACGGCACTCTTTTTAACAATATGCAAAAGACACAGCGAAAAATAAAACTGTCATTTGACCCAATATTTTTCAGACTATGGCTGTGTTCCATTCAGAGATTATGAAATGAATGCCTGGGTTGGAGCTGTTTTAAAAACAAAAAAGAAGCGAGTAGAATAGGGTAGAAAACTATCAGTGAAATCAGGCAATTCAGTGTCGGGGTGTGTGTGTGTGTGTGTGTGTGTGTGTGTGTGTGTGTGTGTGCTGATTGTTATGTAAAATGTGCCTTAGTCATGGAGAGAGAGAGAGGAAGAAGGAGGAGGAGGAGAAGGGGGAGGAGGAGGAGGAGGAGGAGGAGGAGGAGGAGGAGGAGGAGGAGGAGGAAAAAAGACACGGTGGTCATGTCCATCCTGCTGACATTACAAATGAATAAATAGCGTAATATACAGTTAGCACAGAGATGCTCTGAGAGTATGGGACACTGGCAGATGAGCCAAAACTAACTTCCAGTCTCCATTTCTCCATTATTCATCTCAGTGGACTGCCAAGGAAACCAAGGAGAAGAAAGAGTGATACTATCAATGGCACCAATAGTACCAGTCCCTCCCTCAGCCACACATGCTGGGTACCGACCACCTTCCTGAGTGCTTCAGCTGTAGCGACCCTGTAACCCTCACAGCAACTCAGGGAGGTGGGTAGGAATGTCAGCTTCCTCTGTTGAAACAGGAGAACCAAGTCCAGAAAGGTCAGGCGACACGGCGGTGGAGAAGCCAGAGTTCAAGCCCAGATGGGTTGACTCGAGGATCCAGACTCACTCCAGTGTGAACTACAGCACAGCCCTCTCTGTCCTCATACTCTCTCTGAAGAATATAGGGTCAGCATGTACTAAGATGAATGTGTGCTCTCACCCTAGGCTACATAAGTATGTCTCCTAGACAAATAATTTTTATTTGTTTGTTTCGAGATAAGGTTTCTCTGTGTATCCCCAGCTGTCCTAGAACTCACTTTGTAAACCAGGCTGGCCTCGAACTCACAGAGATCCACCTGCCTCGGCCTCCCGGGATGCTGGGATTAAAGGTGTGAGCCACCACCGCCAGGCGCCAAATGTTCTTGACGGGCAATTCCATATTCATATCCTTTAGAGGCAAGAATAAAGTGAAAATATTGTTTCTCCCCCACATGAGTGTCTTCCAAAGTTGTCTTGTTCATTTATTGTCTCATCCATTCATACATCTGAAAGTCGGCCCTTGAAGAATCAAACCAAACAGACAAAAAACTGTAAGGCAAAACTAAGTACCACACCCTTTGTCCTAAAGGGACTAAGGCTGTTGGTATGGAGACTGAGATTCCCTGTGACAGAAGAAGGTGGGGCTGAGCTAGGAAGAGCAAGTGTAGAGGTCCCAGATGGAGCATAAATGAGGTGCCCCGCAAATCCCTTCTCTGTGGTCTCTGTACTTGCTATGGGTGGACCCCAGATCTGCCTCTCGGTTCTCATTTTAATTACCTTCAAATCCCCACGAGGTGCGATGGGGTGACAGCTGATGTTAATTACTCCTCGAGAGTGACTTTAATGACGTAAGATTCCCTGCCTCATAGATGAAAGAGAACTAATGCCTCATAGATGCACGCCTCTTTCCACCACAGGGGCAGGAGTCGTCAGGATTCTGTCGCACATTGAGCAACGTCCTTGACAGCGGCTACAGACACAGGGTGGGATGCCTCGGGACTGTCCGAATAAAGACTGATGACATCATACTCTGAACTCCACGATGCATGGTGGCATCGGCATCCATAGTGCAGATGGCCATGTGCTCTGAGGACACATCATTGTCTCCAGGTTTCAGGGACCAGCCTACTTGAAACAAGGTAATTGAAATAGCTAGTGCTCAGGTCAGATCTCCCCTAGGCAGAGGACTCCACAACTCTGGCATTCGGGAATGGGGCATTCTTTTTGCATAATTTGCTATACATAGCTACATTGTGTGGGGGGGGGGAGAGAAGGAGAGAGAGAGGGAGAGAGAGAGGGAGAGAAAGAGAGGGAGAGAGAGAGACTTCAAACTCATCCTGAGCAGCAACCACACCTCATTACCTTTTTATCCCCATGATTGAAGAAGATGATGGCAATTGTTAGCTGTTGCTATTAAGAAAGAATTAAATCCAGGTGTGGTAGCACATTCCCATAAGCCCAGGATTCAGGAGGCTGAGGCAGAAGACTGCCAAGAATTTGGGGCCAGTGTGGGCTATGTAGTGAATTCCAGTTCAGCCTGGGCTACAATACAGGAGAGCATGAGGGGTATGTATGACCAGTTCTGCCTGAGGTGAAGCACCCCCAGTGAACCCCAAAGGGAGACAGCCAGGTAAGCTCCAGATCACCCGAACCACCTCCTCCACTTCCTATTATCTTGGTGTTTGCTAGGGAGGAGCATCCTTGGAGATATTCAGTCAGGTGGCCCAAAAGCCCTTATCCCTGAGACATGGAAAAGCCTCTCTAAGTACCACATTCTCCTTCCGATGGGAGTGGCCACTGCTGCCTGCACTTCTATGGGCTTCCCTTATAAAACCTCTCCCTGAGGCCAACATGGTTGTCCAGACAGGAATCTAGGCAGTTGATAACAGCCACACCCCCTGAGCCAAGAGATTAGTTCTGATCCGCTCTAAATTTTCATCGCCACAGGCAATACTCCGTGACTCCAAAACTCGCAGGCTGAAAGGAAACAGTCATGACCCAAAAACCCTGCTCATGTCTGAACAACTTGAACAACGAAGGAAGGCTGGCAGTGTTTCCACAAGATTGGGAAACCACATCCGGCCCTCCTTGCTGAAGCTTCCGGGATGTCATCATAAATCCCATGAGAACACTTAGCCAAGAGAGAGAGCCTTTCTGTGTCACGCTGCACAGCGCTGTTGCTGGCAGAGCACCTCTCTGTGCTGAACGGACAGCCGCCCGTCTTCACAATATCCACTCTTAGGTTTCAGGTCCATCCTCAGCCAAGCAGAATGTGCCTTACCTTTTTCTATGTGGCAGCCCTTCAGGTATTAGAAGAAAATTTTCCTCCCCTGCACGCTTCTCTTGAGATGAGATGGTATCTCCCTGTCCCCATCCTTAGCCTCCAAGGTCCTATCCCAGGTCCCCTTCCACCCTTAGAAACCCCTTTTGGCCACTTAAAAGTTCCTGTTCAGAGTAGTTGTAACACCATGGCTTTCCTGCCGGGTTGAGACACTTTTCAAACATTCCAGAAATTTGTTATGGTCCTGGCAGCCAAAACCACAAAACCCAGATCCCAAGAACATGTTCAAATCATCCCCTGACTGGCTTGGCCCATGGTAGACCTTGCTGGACACCATCCTTGGGTCGCTGGGATGAGTCAAGAGTTGCTCTCAGTGTTGCTGTTGGCCATTCCTCAGTGCAGGGCTTGGTGAGACAGGCACCGCCCCTGATACCCTGAGTGTGGAAACCTGAAGGCACAGGCAACATCAGCTATCCTGTTACAATGCCCAAGTGGCTGGTTCCACTTGACGGGGAGTGAGTCAAGACCACAGGGAGGTCCTGGGCATCATTTCAGCATTTCCAGCAAAGGGTCATCTGTATGGGCGGAACCTCCAGAGTCTTGCCCTCTAGTTAACTCAAGGACCCCATCCTGCGCACTCCAAGGCAGCTCTACCTGGTCCACAGCCTCACTCCAAACAGCCCCACCCTCTTCTGTGCAATAGCCGTTTCCTCAGAGTGTCCCCACTCCTGCAACATTCTGTACCCTAGCACAGTGCCCACTGCATGTCTCCTGACCCAGGGCTCTGGTCACCTGACCCTGGATCAGCCTCCTTCAGAGAATCCCCTGGCTCTTACTGAACTGTGTCTCAGTCTCGGCCCAGAGCCTGGTACAGGGGAGGGTCTCATCTGATAGAGAATCCCTTTGACCTTCTTTGCCAAGCTGTCCATGTCTCCATTGAGAAGGTGGAAAAGAGCAGTTGTTCCTCTGGAGAGAGCCCGGAAGACACCGCCAGAGCCTGGCTTTGCTGTCTCCATCATGGTGGGATGAATTGCAGGTGGCTAAACTGGGCTGCTCACAGCACAAAGCCAACAGACTCCCACTGAATCCCTTTCTTTTCTTTCTTATTTTTCTTCCTTTATCTTTCTTTCTTTTCTTCCTTCCTTTTTTTTTTTGAGACAATCTCTTTTTATATAATCTTGGCTGTCCTAGAACTCACTATGTAGATCAGGCTGGCTTTGAACTCACAAAGATCTACCTGGCTCTGCCTCCCAAGGGCTGGAATTAAAAGTGTAACAACACCCGCCCCCCTCTTGATCCCTTTTTAAATCTGCCAGCTCTGCCTGGCCCTGGCTCTAGGATGTACCCCTTCCCATCCCACCTATCAAAGGCCCATCTCATAAGCAGTCATGGGGGAAGAACCGTAAGCTGAGATAGAAACGATTCTACCTCCTCAGAATTGCAAAGGGAAGCAGGCTAGGGTTAGGGCCAGGGGTAGGCCATTATTAGCCTCAGCCCCAAAGTGCTATATGACTGTTTTGATGACACCCCAGAGGCTGAGGAGTCCGTGTGTAAGGCATGTGTCTCTTGATGATGCAGGGACAGTCAGAAGCCACCCTAGGAAGCTGGATCTGTCCTACTGGCTTCAGAGATTCCACACTCTCAAATGCCTCCCCTTTCAATCCACTCCACACAGAAACAGGCAATGCTACCTAAGAAGGCGTTCAGTCAGAAAGACCAGCCAGCAGTTTCCTCTCCGGTTTCCATAGCAACAAGGTGGCCCAGCATCTTCCTCTCTGGGTTTCTATAGCAACAAGTGCAGCATTCGGGTTTCTGACAGTGGGAGTGGGGAACGGAGGCGCTGAGTCTTCCTCCCTCATCCCCAGAGTCCTGGATACAGAAAGATTGCTCTTACCTGCTAAGATGAAGATACCCACAAGAATCAGGAAGACCAGAAGGTAGAGCCCCAGGACTGCATGCTTCAGTGCTGACAGGGAGCCCAGCTGGGTACAGCAGCCACCCACCTTTCGTTTGTGACATGGACCTAAAGGAGAAGAAATGGAACAGAAGTGATGTTTGAAAACAGCTTCATGGACTGTTCTAATGAGGTCTTGCCTCTCCTTCTTGCATACAGACGTTTAGGCTCTCCTGAATGTCTATGGTACAGGAACTTTTCAGGACCACCACAAGCTGTTCAGCTTCTTGTTCTCCACCCGCCCTCTGAATAACCCAAACAGGTCTGCGTGGTCCCTGTAAACACATCTCCAAGTACCAGAACCACACTACGGTAGGCTTTACCATGCATTCTTTACCAAGTGCCATTACTTCCCACAATCCAGGGAATATGGAGAAAAATCAACATGAAAATTGCTGTCTCAGTGGATGAAGATGCCTGGTGCACATGGCTGGAGACCCGACTTCCGCCCCCACAGAGAGGACCGACTCCATGGAGTTTCCCTCTGACCTCCATGGTGCACTGTGGCATGCGCACCCACACATACACATCACATGTGCATGCATGCACACATGTTAATAATGATTCTAAAAGATTAGGACTTGCAAGTAGTTCGGAGAAAATGGGAAGGAGCACAAGGCTCTGGCCAGACTGTGGACAGGTGCACCTGATCTGGAGGAAGTGGAGGGCTACGTAAGACTAGAATGTTGGGGACAAGATAGAACAGTGTTCTCAACCATCCTGATGCTGCGACCCTTTAATACGGTTCTTCATGTTGTGGTGACTCCTAACCGTAAAATTAGTTCATTGCTACTTCATAACTGTAATTTGCCTACTGTTATGAACCATAATGTAAATGTCTGATTTGCAACCCTGTGAGGGTTGTGACCCACAGTTTGAGAACCACTGTGCTAGAAAGCGCTGTCTGCCTCTTTATCTTTAATGTCATCAACAATTAGAAGCTAAAAGCCGTGGAGGGCATGAATAAAACAGGTTTGGAAGCCACGTCTGATCACCAGCTTGCAAACGTGGGTTTAACCAAAAATCGTAGTAACCTCATCCTATGCAGTTAGACCACAGCATCTGCTGGAGAGAAGACATTGGTTGCTGTCCTGGGCCGTACAGACAGTGTGTCCATGTCTTTGGGCTCACATCCAAAGTCAGCTAACTAAATGCCTCATGCATTATTTGCTTTTCTTGTTGTTGAGATAAAATACCTGACAAAAACAATAAGGAAGAAAGATATTATTTGGTTCAAGCATGAGGTCCATATTGCAGGGTATCTGTCATATAACGTCATACAGCATCCACAGCCAGGAAGCAGAGAGAGATGAATGGTGATGATTCTTTTTATTCAGGACCAGAATTCCAGCCTATAGGTTGATGCTACCCGTATTCAGAGTAGACCTTCCCTCTTCAGATAAAATTCTCTGAAAAGGGTCTCATGAGTACACCCAGGGGGGTGCTTTTAGGGTGATTCTAAAACAAACCTGATGAAGTTAGCAACCAAGATTAGCTATTATAGTTGGACATAGTGGCGCACACCTTTAGTCCCAGCTTTCAGAGGGCAGAGGCAGGCGGATCTCTATGAGTTTGAGACAGCCTGATCTACAGAGTGAGTTCCAGGACAGCTAGGCAGCCACACAGAGAAACTCTGTCTTGGGTTAGGGATGGGGAGCGGGGAGATTAACCATTATACCTGTCTGTAGCGCCTGGACTATGGGACAGTTCGCGAGTCCGGCAAGGGGCTGAGATTAAAGTACGCTAGAGACGTGAGTCATTCAGGAAGAGAGAATGCAGAATGTCATTTATTCAACCTTAGAGAAAGCCTTATATACCTAACTGCTGCATAGTAGAAATGCCCCAGGCAGGTGGGAAATTACCAGGCTCAAGCCTGGGAGCAAACAACTCCCCTGTAGCTAACCACCAGGGTGGGTAGAGCGAACACAGGAACAAACAAGATATTTTGCCAGAAACTGCGAGCTATCCTCAATATAAACCCTGGGAGGAGGGGTAGACCTGTGGGCCCTACACCTTTCAATACAGTTACTGGAGAGACTGAAGCAGGAGGATGGCAAATTTAAGATTGTCTGGGCTACATGGTAAGTTCAAGGCCAGCCTGGGTAACTCAGTGAGCCCTTGCCTCAAAAAAAAAAAAAAAAAAAAAAAACCGGCGGTTGGTAGATCAGAGTGCTTGTCTAGCATGCACTGGGCCCGAGGCCCCATCCTCAGGACCGCAGATGGCAGCTACTGCTAGTAAGAGACCTTGCATTGGGACTCAGGGCATCTATCGATGCAATTGTCCTTCAAGGCCAGTCCTTCAAAGCCCACACAGAGACCAGGAAATTTACAGACCTTCTACATCAATCAAAAGAGGGACGCAAGGACCCCTTTTCCATCCCATCTCGGGACAGTTTATAAGAATCAATGTACAACGTTCTTTTCAAAACACGAAGTCTCTCTCCCACTCTGTGCTCCATGGAGGTGACAGGGCCCTCCCGAGGGACCGTCCTTTGTAGTCCACTGCCATTGATTGGACGGGTATGGGGAAGGAAAGGGTTGGTGAGAGAAGCTTGCAGACCCTTGGTTGTTTCATTGGTTTTGAGGCACTTTGAGAGCTGTGTTTTCTCTCTTGAGCATCCTCTGCAGGTTTGGTTACCATGGGGACATTGTGGGTGACAACTGATGCCTGTGGAGCTAAACAGAGATGCCTGGATCCTCAGAGGTGTGTTGACTTGAACAGCATCTTCCTGTTCATATCCTCCACTTGATTGCAAACACTGCCTTTAAAACACTATGCAGGACGGCTGCGCAACCTCACCATAAAACATCAGGCACAACGCAAAGCTAACTGCCAAAGAATAAAAAGCCAACGATCATTCTTCTCAATCCTTAAATGTTAGCAAATTTTGAGAAATCAGGCTGGTTCTCCGTAAGCATTTGAACAGAGATCATCTTTTCTTTTTTTTCTTTAAAGTACCTGGAATTTTCTTTCTAGAATTTTCCATTTCTTTCTATACCAGGATCCAACTGGTTTTAGTCCTGCATTTGTAGGCTCTGGGAACACTTCATCAACCTCTTCTGGTGAGAGCCACTAGCTTTCTTATTGCCACTTAACAGAGAAAAGCCTGCCTCCTGAAAGAGCCAGGGCAGAAGGCACAGCTCCGTATAATCTTATACACATGTTAGTTCTCATTACCACAGTGGGAGTTCCAGCTGCCCTGCTCTGGGTCGCCCATGCCTGAGTCTCAAAACAAGAGCAGGAGGAGGAGAATCACAGCCATGTATACAGAGACAAGGCGAACCTTTGCCATTTGTATTGTTATTGTATTGCTAGCTTGCCACAGGAGGATGTCGCGTGCACAAAAAACACTCTATTTTGTGTGTGTGTGTGTGTGTGTGTGTGTGTGTGTGTGTGAGAGAGAGAGAGAGAGAGAGAGAGAGAGAGAGAGAGAGAGAGAAGCCCCTTTCCTTGTATCTGAGGCTTCTACTTACTAGTGAACACCCCACCTGTGATAGATCCCTTTGTCGACACTCTTTGAGAGGGTGTGGTTTCTTTAGGAACTCTTAATCCCTTCCTATGCTAAAGAAAACTATTTCAAATGGAGCAGAAGAGGGGCTTCAGGCATATATTTCCACAAATGGTAGGACAAGCAGAACGTGAAGACCATGACGAGATGCCTAGAACATATGAGAATATGTCCACAAGGGAAGGAAAGAGAAATTAAGACACAGACTAACAAATGGAGGAACTGTTGTTACTGTGTCTGTGTGTCTGTATGTGTGTGTGCGCACACACATGCCAGAGGTCAGCTTTGCCTGCCTCAGTGCTCTATTTTATGAGACGGGTCTCTCACGGAATCTGAGACTCACCCATTTGAACAGACTGAAAGGCCAGTGAGCTGGAGGAGTCTCCCTGGCTGTCCTGGAACTGCAGATGTGTGCTGTCAAGTCTGGCTTCTGCCATGAATTGAAGGGGATCAAACTCAGGACCTCGTGCTTGTGTGGCAAGCACTTTACTGACTGAGCCATCTCCCCAGACCATGGAGAAGCATGTTTTTATTGTTGCTTGCCTTTTTTCCCCCTAGATCAAATGAGGAGGCATATTTTCAAGCAAATTCTTTATCTGAAAAAGGTGGTAAATTGTTGTAGAATATTAATTTAAGATGTGCTATATTTGTTTATGCTGTGGAACATTTGTTTAATGATGCAAAGATGTGTTGCATTCTTTTATGTTGCATTTGTTTAACTCTGTGAAGCTGTGTTACTTTGCCTGTCTAAAACACTTGATTGGTCTAATAAAGAGCTGAACGGCCAGCAGCAAGACAGGAGAAAGGATAGATGGGGCTGGCAGGCAGAGAGGATAAATAGAAGGAGAAATCTGGAAGGAGAGATGGAGGAGCGAGAGAAGAGGGGGCCAGCCACCCGGCCACACAACCAGACATAGAATAAGAAGGAAGGAAAAGATATACAGAAATAGAGAAAGGTAAAAGCCTAGAGGTAGATGGGATAATTCCAGTTACGAAAAGCTGGCTACAAACAAGCCAAGCTAAGGACAGGCATTCATAAGTAAGAGAAAAAGTCTCTGTGTGTTTATTTGGGATCTTGGATTCAAGTGGCTCTCAGCCTTCCTAATGGCCATGTTGTGGTGACGTGTTATTCAGCACATTGGTTGAATGAAGGCAGCCACGGCCCTGCAGTAGCTCCCACTGGACCAGAAGAAGGCTCATGAACAGTGAAGAGGGAAGTGGAGCCTCTACTGGAAGCGCTCTGGCAGAAGAGGTGACTCCATATCCGAGGAAGAATCTGCATAGGGGAACGCCATGCCCATGGGCCTGAAGGGCAGGCTTGGCCACGGGGCTTGTCGCTCCTCTCCCTCCAGCCTCGTGGGTTCGTGAGCAGCTGTTGTAGATTCAAAATCTGGGACTCTGAGAAGAAAGTGTTCTTCCCAATGTGACAACGATTCTGCAGCGAGTCCTGGCGAAGCTGCTAGCTATTAAATGTTGTTGTCGTTTGCAGCCGAAGGGGCACTGGCCACCAGACTGATGGAGAAAATGGTGAAGGACAACGAAGCCTTCCAAGCCAGCCGC